CCCCCTCCCGATATACTGCTCTGCTTTCTGCTCCCTGTCCAATCTATGTGCTAGACATGCTGCAGGTTGGCTGCCCCTGCTCTTGAACTGATGGGGCGGGAACGTTTAAGGCCATTACACAATACAAGATAAACCACTTCCTCCCCCACAACACTTTTGGAAGCCATTTTATTTCATCTGCACCAAAACCATTTCCAACCCCAACCCACTTGACCTGTGGCTAACAGTTTAAGGCACTGCTTTCTTAATCTATCTGTAACAGACACACCAACAGACACATAAAGCATAGCTGCAATGCAATTGCAGGGAATGCTGTGACTGTGCTCAGATGATGAAGACTCGAAGACTGTGAGAAATCAAGTACCAGAAACACCTTTGGGCACAAAATCTTGGGGGCCGACACACTTTGATTCTATGTCTTTGCATACTGCAGCTCACCTCTTCATTGAGGCTCAGAGCACTGAGCATGGAGTCCAGGTCGTCGAACTCAGCATACCCAAAACCTTTCAATCTCTCAGGGTTAGTAGGCTCCCGTGGCAAACGCACAGCACTTATCTGCAGTTGAACAGATGAGGAGAGTTATTAGCAGGCTCAGTCTTCCCTGAATGCTGCAAAGAGCACACAGGATTTAGTGTAAGCCACTAGCTGCTGAGCTACACATTCATATGGCGCTTTAAAACCAGCAGAGAAGGCGGGTGGTCTCTACATGCAAGCTATGGCGTTACTGGAAATCATGTGACTTATGATTCACGGATTAAGTAAATCAGATCCCAACAGACTTGCAGGCAAGTAAGAGGATTAGTTAGTCCTAACTGCATGTACCTGGGTCCTGTTTAAAGCATTGCTGTCTTTGGAAGCCCAGGTGTGAATATGGAGGGAGAGATCTGGTGCTGGTAGAGTGACTGACTGTCAGCTCTGGAGGCTGAAGGCTTCATACCACACTGCTGTGTAGGAGTAGCTGAGCAAGTTCTGGGCAGCCCTGGCCACTCCAACACAGCCTGGATCTCAACACTGGACAACCATGCAGTCTGCAGGAGCTGCTGAGCACAATGTTACAGACTCCTTCAGCCACTTTTGCTCCTTTGCCAGACACTGAATAGGGGGTTCTTCTGAACCCCAACCAGTTCCAGATTACTTAATACTCCTGATCACGTCCTATTTCAAACCAATTCCTGACTCTCTATAGAGGGAAAACCCTGAAGCCCAGATTACAACTGGATTTTTTTCCCCCAGGTGGGCAACACCCCTCTGGGCAGGAAGAGCAGCTTGCATGATGCATGTAGTGCAGAATTTAAGCTGACATTACTGCTTATAATACAGCAAGTCATTTTAAAGGACAGAGTTAATTCTTCTAGCGCAGTAATGCTTTCCATTCCATCACTGAAGAGCTCTAAAGCAGAGTGCTTTCCTGTTGTACTTCCTGGCTTACAGTGGTCTGGGAAGCAGTTTAAGCTTTGGAGATTGGTGGGTGCTAGCTGCATTCAGACGAGCTACAAGGGCAGAATCACTTGAAACAGAAGTTAGTGAAATAGGTAGGCAGTGATTTGAGAAATGCCTGATGACGGAAGTGGGGAGCAAGGCACATTTATCATACTCTTCCCCCCCGCCCTTGGGCTTCCATGGGGAGTTTGCTCACTTTTCCCTTTGAGTCAGAACAAGACACTCTGCTGCCAACAGGGAGATCTATCACCTTAGCAGCTGACTAAGTCTAATTTAAGCTTTCTGCAGCACGTGCCACCACCAAAAATATCTTGCTTCTTTCCTATTTGAGATGCACTGGAAAGGACAGGGCAAGCTGCTGTTCAACAGGGCAGCAAGGATCAACACTATAGCACTAAAGCTGTCAAACTGTCTCAAAGGTTTGGACACTACGGACCCTCAAGCTTCTGGTGCCCTCATCCTAGTGTCCTGCTGCAGGAATTTCCCCCACTCTAGTATTTCCAACTCAGACAGATGCTGCATCAGCAGCCAGAGGGGCTGTAACAAAAAAGCTGAATAGGCACAGTAAAGGCGAGCAATGTCATTGTGCCTGGACAGAACAAGCTGCTGTGATCAGCAGAGCTGGTGGGCTGGCATGCGGGTACCATTCTGGCTAAGATCCAATGCTACTCACTGTAGCTAACGTTTGGGATAGTTTCAGGAAGAGAGAATAATTCTCTACCTGAAAGTGCTCTGTACGTCCTTACCCATCCCTCTTCCAGGTTTAAGACAAAAATGCTTGGGATCTCCTTAATGAAGGCCCAATAAAAGAATTCAATGCAACAGTTCCCCTTCCTCAGCTCAACCCAGCAGATGCCCCAGCTGAAAATCAGGGGGGAATTATCCTTCAGGCTAAGTCACTGGGACCCAACATGTGCTCACATAAGACATGAACTTTGAAGTACCTGAAGATTCCCCCTCCCATTGTACCTTCATGCTAAGGGGAACATCCATCCAGATCACCTCCGAGGGAGGCTAGAATTGGAGCCGCAGAAAGGGGCTGGCACAAACTGCTTCCACCAGAAGCTTCCTCTTGCTCCATTAGCCAGAGAGGCAGAACTCTTCTTTGCACTTGGTGTAAAAGCAGGAGGACAGAGAATAGACATGGTGCCTACAAAATGCCCTTCTCAGAGAACTCCCATGCCCCACTGCTGTTGAGCACTGGTCAAAGCAGTAGCAGCCCGCTGGCAGGCAGCCAAGAGCTGCCAACCAGAACTGGAGAACACGCTCTCGGCAGTCCCCGGCCACAGTCGCAGAGCCGCTGCTCAGCAGCATGTGGCTGGATAGAGAAGTCTGCTGCAGACAGCTAGAGAATGAGGATCTTTCCTGACACTAGTGCCGACTGTGGAGTACTACCAGACTATCCTGGTAGCAAGCAGCTTGCACGGCCCCTTCCTGGGGAAAGGGGAAAAGTGAGTTGCTCTAAAGAAGCCTTTAGAATCCAGACCTCTTAAAAGGATGCACCATACTTACATTGAGTCCTCTGAAGAAGTCCTTGATGGATTCTTCCGACACGTCGTAGGGCAAGTTTCCCAGAAAGGCGGTGTAGGGGGGTGACCTGGGGAGACGGCTTCTGTCTATATTGGGTTCCCGAGCAGCCCGAGGTGCAGTGGGCAGGATGGAGCGGTCAATTGGAGGGGCGCGGTAAACATCATCGTCGTTACTATGCCAAGTGGTGGAAACTACAAGAGACGGTTTGCATGTCATCAAAACAAACTATTTGCTTCTTATTTATAATAACCAAAGCTTGTAATGACATCCCAGCTTCACTGCAAAAAGGGAATGACAAGGACATTCACTTATAGACTCCTTCTTGTAAAAACAAGAGTTCGAGATTGTCAAGAAAGAGGGCTCTACAATATTAAAATCACTGCTCATTGCTTTCAGGGTCCTTTCCTTCAGAGTACAGCAAAGATTCTCCACAAAAGCATGGGGCAACAAGACTCAGCCTAGACGTAGTTCATGAATGGATCTGAGAGAAGGAAAGCAAATCCAAGAGTCTGAGATCACAAGGCCAGAAGGGGGCATTGTGACTGTTCAGTATGAGCTCGTTACCAGGCAACTTCTCCAAACTGAAGATGCAGGAACTCAAGTTTAGAGGAACATCCTCTTGATTTGGAGAGCTCCTAGTGATGGAAAAACCCACCACAATCCCCAAGGAAGCCATTCCAATGCTTCGTCAGCCTTCCTGTTGGAAATCTGGGCTTTGTTTCTAGCTTAAATTTGGGCAGACTCAACTACTGCATCTTGATTTTTTTTGTCTGCTAAACTAAAGAGCCCTCTTAGCAAATTTCTGTTTCTCATGCAGATTCTTCCAAGCTGAGGGAGTTGCTCAATCTTGGTTTGGATAAGCTACGCAGATTGAGCTATGCGAGTCTCAGAAGGCTTTTTGTTTCTGCATCCTTAAGAGTGAGCCCTTGCCAATTTAGTCAAGCAGCTGGAGATAAAAGGGAGGCAAAAAGACAATTTACTATAGCAGACAGAACAGCTCTCAGCACGCTCAAGGCAGCCCCTGAGAGCTGCTGACACAAAGCCCCCAGATCAAAGCCTTCTGCATCCAGGTGAGTTCAGACCAACCTGCTGACATGCAGAACACAGCTGATTTCTGTATTGTAACTGCTTTCCAGAAAATAAATAAATCTCACACACACACACACACAAAGGAGATACCAAAGGAAGCGAGCGCTATGAAATTTAGACAACACTGCTGCACTGCTGAGGGACACTGTCAAATGGATGAGGCCAGGGAGCCGAGTGTTAGTAGCTGGCTCTACTACTAACCTGAGAGTCACCTAAAACTTCTGACCTGCCCCCACTGCCATGTAAAAGATGCAAGTGGAGGGGAACTGTCTATGCTGTCAGTGCTCAAAAAAACAACTGAAAAAATTAAGAGCAACTTTTCCTTCTCATCCATTAATTTCAGAGGCGCACAGGCATCAGTATGCTTCATCAGCACAAAAGCACGTCAGAGCAGTGCTCAACTGTAGAATACTAATAGCACGCAAGTGGGAAGCGACATTACCATCTCCTTCCAGGTCATCTGTCTCGTCCGCCCAGCTGACTGGTTTGGGAATATAGGTAGGTGCGGGACAGCTACCGGTGCCACCATCCTCCGCCAGAAAGTCCGTCAGTGTGAGGGTCTTCCCCTTCTTGTTCTTCTTTTTAGCTGCTAAAAGTGAGAAAGGGAACCGAAGTGAGTAACTTCCCAGCATGTCTAGGTGCCTGGCAGGAGAAGGGGAGAAGAACTGGAGGGGGTGCTGCCCAGCATACCCTGGCTAAGGAGGCACAGGGTGTGTGCTACTCAAGCTGATGCAGGTCCAGTCAATAAGTATTCTTCATGCTCAGGAACGGGCAGGTGATGCACAGCATTTCCAGGCCAAACCTCTGCATGGCCCCAGAATGCCCAAATGGGAGCATGGAGGCCACCTGCATGTCATAGTGCTTTAGGTTACAAGGTGACTGCCTAAGCTACAGACTGGAAAGGTCATTTTTGTGACCCTCCTCCAATTTCCATTAGCATCTCCTGCACCCACGCTAGTGGGAATTCCCAGGGCTTCGAACGCTGGTTTCCACTTCTTGTACACTGTGGGACACTGCAAAGAGAGCACTGCTGCTGCTCTTGGAGACCTTTCCAAAGGCACACCATTATACAGCTGGCAAAGACCTAGAAGGCTCCTAAGCCTCATTCTGACAATCCCCACTTCTTTCCAAGCCCTTCCAAGTCCATCCTGGCCTATCAGCCTTTACTTCTAGGCAATCAGAAGGATTCCTTCAGACTATTTAACAAAGATATACCAGCAGAGTCCCACCCCCCAATGGACAAGACCCAAGTCTCTGTGCTTTAAGTACTCATTTGTAAGGATGCTGGCACTTTCCTACTTCACAGGGGCAGGGGAGGGGGGAAAAATAATCAAGCAGAGAAACTGAGGTTTTTATATGCTGACAAGGGCCAGGAGTGTCCATGACAGAAAGTCTCCTGAAGAGAATTTCCTGTTTATGCTGGTAAAAGCCACACACACCCAGGATAGCAACAAATGCACAAGCTAACATTCAGGCACCATCTTAAGAAATTGCATCGAACCCAAAAAGCAAGCTGTACTGGCATCAGAGCTGAGCTGGTTTGCTCCAGAGCTAACATATACCAAATCCAGGAAGGGATTACATTAAAACCCATTTGCATATTCAAACAACTCAGGTCACATCTTGGGAAGTTTCAGGAGCATGCTAGCACAGTTGCACTGAACTGGCATGCTTTCCCCCCTTGCTGATGGAAATCTTTGATGTGCACACAAAATTGCATGCTGTGCCGTTTTTGAATCTGCTAGAAGAATTCTACCTCTGTATATATTTATTCCTGCAATAAAATTATTCCCGGAATAATTTATTCCTTACAATAACCTGACAAACAGAAATCAGTGTCAAAACAGATCTCAATGTCTCCAGAAAGGCCCTGGGAAGCAAGGCTGTTGCAGGAAGGCAAGGTGCCATGCGTTTTATGAAGCTGAGATCATCTTTCCTTATAGGATAGTGCTGTCCCCATCTCTCAGCACAGCGAGTGTTCACATGGTAAGCAGCATGTCTCTAGCTTGCAAAATGCATTTGAAATATGAGTGCATATGGAATTTTTGAATCCTTGCTGCTTGGCAAATAAGTTGCATTTAATTAAATTAATCTTGCTTAATACAATATTGAAGCTACAGTTTTAACCATTCCAAGGTGGGATGTGCAAGAGGTCAGACATTTTGGTAACAGCTGGACACAAGAAGTGCACTTATTCACACGGTAACAGGCCAACATTGCTTAAGTATAACTAGGGGGATTGATTATTATGGAAGCTGTGAGACCTATAATTCTTGCCTGGAGGGTTTTAAAACGGTAAATGTGGTGTTATCTCAGAGTCATTTCTGTTTGCAGCAGGGGATTCAACAATCCAGCTAATCAAATTCACCTGGCAGCAGGGAGATGCAACTTTGGCACATACAGTGAAATAAAGTGACAGTGCAAATCCACATCTTGGTAGCACTCATGTCACATGCACACTATTCTGAAATGAGAACAGCTTCACACATTGAAGAGAAATGCATGCCATGCACATGCAAGGTAGGTAATTCCATAGGGGCCACACCCGGCTAAATTAAGCATAAGACCAGCATGCAAGTCTGCGGTGTGCAAAGCAACTCTCCAGACTTACATTTGCTTAACTGAGTATGTATGTTACTGCTCAGTGCTTCCGCAGCATTCAAATTTAAGTCAAGTATGGTGGATGATTACAAGCAACTAGGCATTTTAAGTGAGGGAAGGCAGCTCAATTCTGTCACCGCAACCTGTGTTTTCAGAAAGACTGCCACAGACTTAGAGGGAAGGTTCATTTGTGAATAGAAAGCCAGCTAAAAGATATGAAGCAAAGGGTGGGGCTACTTTTTAGGATAGAGGGAGGTCAAAAGCAGGATCTGCGCTAGGGCCAATTTTGTTCAATACTTTCATTGATGACCTGGAAATGGGGGTGCACAGTGAAGTCTCCAAGTTTGCAGACAATACCAAGTTATTCTGGTTAGTCAAGGCCCAAGCCGAAAGAGAAGAGCTGCAGAAAGAGCTCACCAAGCTAAGCGAGTGGACACACAAAAAATAAAGGCAGATGAACTCAAGTGTCGACAAGTGCAAGGTAATACACCTGGGGAAAAATAACCTCAGCTATAGGGACTCAATGCTGGGTTCTGAACTAGGTGTTAAGACTTGAGATGGAGACCTTGGAGCCACTGTAGACAGTTCTCTAAAAGTGTCAGCTCCGTGTGCAGCAGTGACTAAAAAAAGACAATAAAATGTTGAGCATCATTAAGAAGGGAGTAGAACAAGACAGAGGACAGCATCATGCCATTATACAATCTGTGGTGCCCCCCTGTGGGCATGTCTACACAAGATGCTTACTGTGCAGTAGCCTAATAACATTGTGCAGTAGCGCGCCAGTCAAAAACCGTGCTAATACACTACTGCGCAGTGGTATAAAACTACTGTGCAGTAAGTGTCACAAAATAACTGTGCGCTAGCACTACTGTGTGATAACTATAGTTACTGTGCGTTTAGTATTTGCTTAATGAAGCACTAATTAAACTAAATGTGCAGTACCTACTGTACATTAATGAATGTGTAGATGCACCCCGTGTGCAGTTCTGGTCCCCACGTCTCAGAAAGCATGTAGTAGAATTAGATGGCCAATCAAAAATGATTAGGGGAATGCAGCTGCTGCCATACCAGGAAGACTAAAAAAGCTAGGTCTTCGTTTGGAAAGGAGAAAGCTGGGGAAGGGGAATATGATAAGGGGTCTATAACATTATGAAAGCTGTGGTCCAAGTGAACAGGGAACCAAGTCCCAGAACATTAGAACTAGGGGGCACTCACTAAAATTAACAGGCAACAGGTTTCAAACTAACAGGAGGAAGTAGTTGGGGTTTCTTTCTACACATCATAGTTAATTTGTGGAATTCATTGCCACAGGAGGTAGAGGCAGACAGAATAGCCAGTTTAAAAGGGACTGGATACATTAATGGATGATAGGACTATTAATAGCTGCTCAACAGAAGGGTTGGAGATGTTTCCCCAGCATCTCTAAACCCATGATGGTGGATGCCGGGAGGATATTGAATAAGGGATAGATCAATCCAGATAAGTCCAGTTCAATGCTCTACATCTGTAGTATCCCTTCTGCAGCTGGGGAAGACAAGATCAAAAGACCACTGGTTTGACCCAGTATGGTACTTCTGTTCTTATGACTTTGGGGGCCTAATATGACATCTTATGGGGCATTATCTTCCAAACAGGCCTGTGTGGCACTTCTGAAAACCAAGCCTCTCTAAAACATTTCCAGTTGAGCATTCAAATACTTGAGGCATCTCAAAAGGGCCACTTGTGATGGTTTGTCTTCTGCTCTTTGGTAGCAGTGCAAGAGTTTATTGGGATTTGTATCCTGACAACTAGCTCTTCCAATAAATGCACGTAATTAGAACTGCTAATTATTGTGCAAACTTTACAGTTTTCTATAACATCCAGTGAGCCAGCACTGCCTGCCCTTCTCTTTGCAGAGAGCCATTTCCTCCCTGAGCAGTAATTAAGGCGTTGCTTCTTCTGGAATTTCTGGATGCGCATCCATATAAAAACTACAGGCTGGTCACAAGCATGAATCTGCACAGTGCTTGGCACCGAGACACTGCAGCAAGTTGGGGTCAAACAATAAATGCTTCTTCACACTGTATTACCGAGCCCACACCCTTATCTCTTGCCCTTCATTACCCCGACTGCATCCCATTATTCCTTCTTGGTCTCGAGCCAGATTTTAGTGTGGCAAGAAGCCTCTGCCTTGGTACTTTAGTGCTGTGCTGCAACACACTGGACTTTCCATCCAACAGGACACCTACGGCTACTCTCACAAGTGTCCTCGGCCAGAACTGATTTCGTTCAGATACCTTCCACCAACACACAGGGCCAGCCCAGAACAGCCCTACCCCATGGCAAGTCCCTGCAGTGGTGCTGCCCAAATCTAATTTATGTTCCCAGAAACCTTTCTTTTTATCTTTGGCAAAGCAGAAGCCAAGCTGTCCAGCTCTGAGCTGTCAGTACTGAAGCCCCATGAACCAAAGGAGACCTATCAATGGCTTCTCTGCAAGTGCCCGAGGGAGGACTTCACGCGTCAGGCCTGGAGACAACATTTTGCAGCCTGGCAGAGGGAGATATGGGTGTTTTAGCTGTTGCATATCTGTGACCTGTATATCAGGGCCAACTGTTTATGCCCACACCCACCCTGCTGTCATCTGTGCCCTTGAACACAGGCTCCTATTGTGGGCAGGTCTCACAGATTACCACCAAACAGCAGACAGGGCAACACATGGGCTGTACATTCCTTCTGCCAGATCTCACTTGGAGTCCTAACACTATCTAGACAGGCCAACAAGTTACCCCATCAAGATCAGCTCGACCTATAGGAGCAGCCTTAGGATTCCTGAGAGATGGCTCACAGGAAGTTTTGCTGTAGCACTTCCTCTGTTCTCACAGCTTTCTGGATCACCCATGACTTTCCCAGGATTGGCTAATAAGATGTAGGAGCAAGCTTACTTATGCTTTCAGTACCTTTAAATGCATTTCAAAGACAGTTTTAAAATCACTGCTAGATTGAAGCTACACCCCGTGCCCATTTTTCTTCAGTCCCTCCATCCAGCTCTCCTTAGCAGCATACCTAGCAAGTCCAGCACCATCTCACTCCCCCTTTGAGCACCAGTTCATTCAGGACCCAGCACAAGACAAGTGTCCTTGAAATGGGTTTGAATGCAGAGACCCCTATACGCATTCCAGTTAGGAGTGGCAACTGCACTTCAGTGGCAAGGATACCTCCGCTAGTGTCAGCAACGGAAAGCGAATACTGTCCTTTAAGCTAAATTGCCTTTCACGTGACAGAAGACCTCCGCCTGCAATGCTCTGGCAACTGGAAGGGCAGTTCCTGGAACCAGATGTGTTGAAGTCAGACAGAGGGTTCAAAAGCAGCAACTTCAGTTCAGTATACTTACTTTCCGCAGCTGCCTGCATGGTAACTGGGCAGGTCCTAGACAAAGATACATGACAGTTGTTTGAACCGCTTGTCCTTCCCCCCCTACCCCAGAGTTTAAAGCCAGTAATTAAGTCCAATGATCCTGGGTTTTTACTATCTCAGTCAGTTGCCATGGAAGCAATTGTGAAATCACACATTCAGCATTGCAACTTCATGGCGAGGCTGGGGGGAGAGTGGAGGGGGGTGGGGTGTGTGCATCAAATACCTTGAAACACAAGCAGTAAGACCAGAGGCCTGGAAAACAAGAACTGGGAGCCGTACAGTTCTTCCAGCCCCCAAGTTGTGTTCTAGCGGCGGGCTCCAGTGGAGAGGCCACAATTCCCTTGGCCAAGAGGAAAGCAAAGACTCAGTGCTGTTAAGAGCCACATGCCAGGGTATTCACCTGCAGGAAGTTCTCCCAGGGCACTCTGCAAGCCCGTTTTACACTCCATCATGCAGCAGAGAAGTTGGCAGGACTTCTCAGGAGCCCTTCAATAGCACTCAGGCCATCCAGGTGAGCCCTGTATTGGCAAGAGGCATCTACGGACAGCTCTCGACTATGGGAGTTACGGGACTTGCAGTTGGGCCCTTACACATCTGCACAAGCACTGTTGCTGGAGCAGTTTCAAAGTTTACTTACAATATCAGCTTAAGGCATAAAGAATTTGTAAAAATAACAACCACCTTTATAGTCTGTGCGACTCTGCAACAATTCAGTCCTTTAGATGCTTCTTTCCCCTCCAAACTGTATAGGCAGAATCTTCCTATTGCACTGAAAAAAGAAAAACCAAGCATCTTTCCTGCCTTGCTGCTACCTTCCCAGTTCCTGCAACACATTAGCATGGCAAGCATTGCTAAGAAGTCTTGCTGGTTGCATGAACGAAGCTAAAAATAAATCAGACTGAAATGTCCAACCTGGGGCAAGATTCAGGAGTTTTCAGCGGATGCATTAGCTGCTTCAGTCGCAGAACATTAAGGAAGTCGCATAGAAGCCACATGCTGCCCCCACTCTGCAGCTTTGGAGGCTTCCAGAAAAAAAACATCCCAGGTTCTTAAGAGCTGGCTTAAGGTGAAGGAGAAAAACTGCAATGGTCTCAAGTGCCTCCCCTTCCTGCAAAAGGTTCTGGGGAGCAGCAGTTCCACCAATCCAGGATGCCATGGGGAAGCCTCTGCTGAAGACATACAAACAGGGGCTGCAAGAGCTTTTTTCTAGAAAGGTGCATCTCTCGGGGAATCTAGGCACCGGTAAAGCGCTGCAGCCTCCAAGAGCTGGGAAGGAAGAGCAGGCTAGCCCTCTGGAATGGTTAAAGTTCAGTTTGCCAAGGGTAAACTCATGGAAATATGATGTCAGCAGTGGATAAAAGAACTGGCCGATCAGCAGCAGTGACCTACTGCAGTGCCTGCCTTGAGAAAGGAAGCTGAAGAACCCTCCTGCTGCAGGCAAGTGCAGCTGGAAAAGAGAAGGGGCTAAAAGGTGCGTTCCACGCCCAGACTTCCCCCTCCTGCGTGGGGAGGGTGCTGGAGTGCCGGAGATGGCTTTCTAACCCTGGCAAATGGGCTGCTAACTAGCAGCCGCCTTTCCAGAAACCCTGCAGGCTGGCTGTTTGTTCAATTTGCATCAAATGGCTGACAAGTCACAGGCAGGAGAGGAACAGTATGAAGCAACTTCTGTTGCAGGAGGTTGCACACTGCTTATGCATCACCAAAGCTGTCACAACCTTGTAGGGGCTGGGAGAGACCAAGGCAAGGAAAGGTACTGGACCGAAGCAGCCCTCCTAGGCAGGTGAGGCTTTCTGACAGCCAACACCCTCTTTGCTCCTATCAAGGAGGCAGCCATCTCTCAACCACTCCCCATTTATCTTGCGAGGGCCAAGCCCTTCCAGGATGTTTCCTTAACATCTACGCTTAAGGATAAAGGAGATGGGTCAAATGAAATCCTCCTTGGACCTCCCCCACTGTTATCTCCAACAACCATACCTCCTTGACACTGCCATTCCCGAGCTGTAGAGGCACTTGCTACGAGCACCCTGCATCTCCAAAAACGTAGGGCTGTTTTTATCAGTGCTCGTTCAGGAATTACTGGGCAACTTGACCCAAGTAGGAATAAAACCTAATGCTCATCTTTCACTATAGCAATGGAAAAGCTAGCAACATATTTTTTACTCACCCCATGAAGTTTTCCCAAGCAAGCCTGAGAATAATATTCCGGGTTCAGCTAGACCCATGTGACAGTACTCTTACAATATACTAAGCCCATGGCTTTTGGGCCTGAGAGCTTTTTTTTTTTTTTTTCTCTCTCTCTCCCCTTTCCCTCTTGATCTTTAGCTAATGGCTGGGTTTGGCTTCAGCTTCTGCTCTGACGGTCCCACCAATGCACACGCACACTGTGATCAGCTATAAACACGCCTGTGCAGGCACCAGGGGAAAAGGGAGGTGCATCTCCTGCCTCTGCTGTTAGCTAGGAAATTGGGGACCCTACAGTTCTGCTGGCAGCACGAACTCCAAGTGACGCCTGTGAACTGAAGGGTGTTTCAGCGCCGGCAAATCGCACTTCGGATCCACGCGCCCGGATATTGCCGTCACGTAGCGAGAGCAATGTTTCTGCAGTAAAAACGTTGTGCGCTTTGGTCAGAAAGGG